AAAGGACGCAGTAACCCAAATGCATGTTTTGGATTGTGTGGGATCAGTGTGTACCACTGTATGGTCGACATTCTATGGGGGCAGAGAGTGTGGCATGGTTGTATGCCAACACCATCCATTGCAGAAGTCTGGGCATATCGCTCTAGTTTAGCTGCAGCCTCCTCGCTCCTGGCGCATATGAAGCAGGCACAATTTGAGTTGCCTGGTCCTCAGCCGTCCTCTTTTGTCATTCCCGCAAGCTACAGTATGTGCGGCAGTATTACCAGCCGGTACGAGGAGATAAGGAGGGTGTAGGACGCCAGTGTACCGTTACATGCAGAAGCGGCAGGCTGAGTGGTGCTGACAGGAGCTCAGCGGGATGCATACATCTAAAACTGGTGATCACATCCACCCCCCAGGAGAAAAACAAGAACACAAACTGAATAGTCCCCCAGACATGGCTACAAACAAAGCAAACCAAACAGGGACTAGCAACGAATACACAATGCACTAACCACGTCCGTCTTGCACTGCATCACAGCTGCCACGGTCTTATCGGCTATGGTAGCGAAGATTGCCAGAGACACCTGGAGACGCGAGAGATTTCAATGTTAACAATAAAAGAAATTGCAAAAGATACAATGACTAAAATGGTGGGAATTAGATCAACTCATGTTTGGTGTCTATTTACCCGACGTGACCCCGACTTTTATATTTTACCAAAAAACTGGTTAATAATAAATGTTTCCTAACATAATGTAAAAAAAACTTTTTTTTTTCAAAATTTTCTGTAATTTTTCCTAATTATAATAAAAAATAAAAACCCCAGTGGTGATTAAATACCACCGAAATAACGCCCTATCTGTCCCCAAAAAATGGTATAAAATTCATTTCAGTACAGCGTTGCATGACGGAATAAACGTCAGTCAAAGTATCGCAGCGCTGAACACTGAAAAATGGCCTGGCCAGGAAGGGGGTCTAAACACCTGGTCTTGAAGTGGTTAAAGAGACACGGTCACCTGTGTGTAAAGCTGCCACTTTATAGACTCATCTTTCCAGTGCTGCCTTGCTGCTCCTTCCTTTGTTGCGGCCTCCAGCAAAATACCAGGCGCTCAGGGGCCTAGAGATGAGCTGCTGGGCCTGAGCACTGCAGTATGAGAGCAGGACACATGCTGCCCCATCCCCAGAAGCACCAGCGGCGCCCACAGAGGAAGGAGCGGTGTGGGGGGGGGGGGGGTGGGGGGGGGGGGGGGGGGGGGGGGGGGGGGGGGGGGGGGGAGTGCCAGAGAGGAGAGTACAGAACAGTCAGGAGCAGCTTTACACAAACACGGTCACTCTGCCTTGAATGTAAGGGAGCAGGAAGGTAACAGGGTCTCTTGAAAAAACATTCAAAATTGTTCCCCTGTAATTTTAAAAAGAAAAAAAACATTTCTTCTGGTAAGTGCTTACGTGAGAGAAGTCGCGCAGCGGTGTCAGGGTGCCGTCTCGGTACTGCAGCAGTAGGGAACGGCGAGGAGAGATCTGCAGGAAGAACTGGGCCAGAGTCGGGCCGGGAAGATTGAGAGGAGCTGTAGTTATACTGAGCTCTGTGATGTCATCGGCCACTTCCACTCCCAGGGACTGAGATACAGAGAGAGAAGAATTGGCACACGTGTACACGCGCACACGCACACGCACACACACACACACAGTACACATAACAGAACACCAGAATACACAGAATTCTACAAATAAAACTAAAAACGTGCGACATCACTGCAAGACGAACTGCTCTGAGCCCGGAATGGCTACCTGCCCTGAGTGGCTCATACAGAAATCAAGCTGGGTGTACAAACTCGCACTGCGGTATATGTCAGAGCTTTATAAATGTATATTTCTGTACAGAGACTGATGTGACTATGGGGGAGGGGACATTAGAGTGTAAGCTCCTCTGTGTAGAGACATGCGACTTGCTCAGTTTTCTCTGTACTGCACTGCGGTATACATCAGAGATATATGTGTATAATATAGTGGGTGACTGCGGGGGGACATTAGAGTGTCAGCTCTTTTGTACAGAGAATGATGTGAATGGTTTAGTGTTCTCTGTACAGCACTGCAGGCA